GTTTTCACTAACGATTGTATATTCTCTTAATAACCACACACTCTGTCGGTAAATTACAGAACATCAAAGAAGAGGAAGCTGAAAAAAAATGAAAAACGAAACAATCGTGCTTTCTTTTTGAAAACAATCCGTGCATTGAAATAAGCGATACAATGGACCTTCTGCCCAACTAAAGAGTCCTCGTAAAACAACAGTTCATCCAAACCAGAGAAAAAGATTACCGAAGAAGAAAGAAGCAAGGAAGAAGAGAGAATGGTTACAACATAACAATATGGCACCCTCCTGTGTGATCGAGTGGCTCTCCGATTAAGAGTAAAATTTCATTTTCCACCTACTGTTAGGTTGCTGCCGCTATAAGTGCTGACAATTTTCACTCATTAGTAATCATAGTCTCTATTCTTCTATTCTACTAACAATTAATTAATATTAAATAAATCTACAAAAATATACAATGAAAGTACACTATGCTAAAATTATGTATAATTAAAGTTCTGCATAAGATAGACATACGTAATATAGAATTGTGTATAAACTGTAAAAACAATTTTTAGGTATAATTATTTAGAATTAAAAATATAATTATTAACTCATCTAGTCGACGAGTAATCGATGTAGAACGTACATGATATTTGGAAAGAAATAATTTTGTAATGTTTATTGAAAAACACGTTATCGCAAAACCGGCGGGAAATAATTCAAAATCCACCGTTAAAGCTTACCACCGGTACGTGAGATGTATACATACATGCAACATAAATTACATGGTACGCATTGACGACCTGGCGCCCCACATTCTGACGCTTGCCAAATTTCAACGTTCAACGAACAGTTCCCCAATTCCCAATGATTATCCACTTAAATCCTGAAGTCGCGAGTAATTATGTGAGGGTGCGAGGGTCAATTTGATAATTGCATTATTCCGTTGCAAATAATTACCACCTTTCTGAAATGCAAATCCTACGAGAAGAGTTTCTACATTTTTCTTATCTTAATTGCCTAAACTGGGCTTATTACTTTCCTCGATAACAATACTTAGAGGAACTATTAGATGCTAATTTCAAATAGTATGCGGTTTGAATTTCTTTTATCATTCAAATAATTAATATACCTTTATTCGATATCAAAAAGTCTTAAAAACTCTTCATCTATTTTTAATAAGTTTGTACTATTCTTTTCTACTGTACCATGTACTATATTCATTTTTCATACAGAAAATGTATAGTTATATTTAAATAAAGTAAAAATAAAGTAAAGGAAGTTAAAATATCTCAAGTAGCAACTTGATATATGTGTATATAGACAGGTAAATATATTCAAATATTTTAGAGATTTTTGTCTAACATTAAAATTCCCAATTTTTTTAAAATATTGTCTTATTCTTTTTCAAAATTTTCTTATAAGATACGTGTTATATGCACACACGTTTATTTCTGATATAGTACGTTTATTAGTAGAAAGAATGAAAAAGCAAGTTAAGACCAACTGCGTTCGGCTGCAAGCAGAGGTTAAAGAGGGGAGAAGCACGCGTCTGCCACGCTCCCAGTGTACACACCTGGGGCCAGTTGGCTAGCGAGAGAAATCTTTTTCACCCTAAGTACAAACAATATCCAATTATTAACAAATTACGATTGCGAAATTGGAAAATGTTTTGGAAATATAGAAACAAAATTATTACTCCTGCGATACATTTCTTTGTTATAAACAAAGACATCTTAGTTTATACGATACTGGGCTTCTCTGTATTGTACAAATAGCTAGTTTCGTTAAAGAAATAAACTTTTACTAAATACTAAGGAAACTTATATTAATCTGTATAATCACAAAATATTGATAAATGACCTCGAACATTGTGCGATTGTACAATAAATGTTATGTGCAAAAATCTATAGAACTAAACTTATATACGTATAATAAAATAAAAAATGCTATTATATAAATTATAATAAAGTAAACAAATTTTATGTATAATAAAATATATATATTATGAAAATCTGTATGCAAAAATATTTTAATTTGGTATGTAGTATTGACAAAGTAAGGTGTACAGCTCATTTTCATTATCATTAGGAAAATTCTTTTGAAACAATTTATATGTGGAATTCATAAACGTTACTTTCATATTTAAAATTAATATAAAAGTATTATGATTATGTATATTGCAATTGTATTTACTTATCTAGTTTGGTCCTTAAATTCTCGTAAGAGTCAAGCTAATCACAAAAGTTAAAAATATTATATTATTATATAATCGAACACTTTGTTTTTCTACTTTTGTATATAATAAGGCTTGAAAGAAATCGTACGATTTCGTGACAAAGGAAGTAAAATTATTCGAGCGAATGTCCTTTCAGTTTCAGTGGAAGAGCAACCGTTCGAAGTTCCTTCCTCCACAGGTTTCGAAGCTATTATGTTAATAATATTCTTTTTTCTGATATAATATTTCATAAATAAATGTGTTATTAAAAAAATATGTTGTAGAAAGTGGAAGAAAAAGGAAAAATTATTATCGATTCAATGTAACTCCTTTCTTCATTTTCAGTTTTGGCATTTACTGTGCATTTTTAAGTAAAGAAAATAAGGAAAAAATATTTCTCAATGTACGAGATTACCTATAACTACCTTAGAAATTCGAAGATAATTATTTCACCGCCCAGATAATTATTTCGAACGATTCTCAATTATATTAAAGTATGGCATCTGGTTTTTCACAGTATAGTAACTGATCCCGCAGTACTCAACGTCAGACCATTCGCTTGAAAAATTATTAAAAACATTCTTACAATAAAAAGTAATAACTATTTAATACATATATTTCTGGTTATTAATACTATCTTTACAAAAAAATGAAAAATTAATTAATATAATAATGTGTATTATTTATAATCATTATTGATATCATAAAAATCTATTAATTGTAAGTGACTTCTAAAGGAAGTGAAGTATATACTTGTTGCTTAATGTTATAGAATTTTATGGAACATAATACTGGTACTAGTAACATTGAAGAATGCCGAAAATACAGAGTGATACATGGCTTAAATATAAAGAAGGAAATCGGCAAACGAACCACTAATTGAACCTCCAAAAAACGAAAATGCCGACAGGAAACTGAAACTAAAAGCGGAAAACCCGGAATGGCATTAAAGTCGCATTAATCACACCAATGATGGCTTCCGGTTTATTTGGAAATCCTGCTTTATTTGAAAATAAATAATATATACGCATATCTATTCAAGATAAATATGATTACTGAATATTATTAATTATATTATAATTTATGAAAAAGATATAAAATATTCTTATGGTTATAAAATGATTAATAAATAAAATAAATTACAAAAAATTCATGATTAGTTTCAGTTATATTTTGAACCTAACCAATACTAGTAGACTACAACTTTTAATAATTTGTACAACTTATTAAATATTAAATATCAAATTATAAAATATTTATGCACACTCATTTTAAAAAACTCTTTATCAAGAAACAAATAATGATCTGTGTATAGAAATATTTTATAAATATTTTACAAAATTTAAAGTATATAATAATGTTTTCAAACATATATGTAAAATAAGTAAATATTTCGAAAAAAATTATTCGACGATTTGAAACACTAAATTGTATAGATATACCATTATTAATATATTTTTTAATTTTTAACATTTTTTAATATTTTTTTATTCTTTATTTTTAAAAAAAGGAATAAAAATTGTAACCCTTACAGTAATCTTACCGATAAAATATACAACTTATTAAAATCAAATTAATGGAGAGTAGATTTTTATATAATTTTTATGGAGATATTAACGAAGTTCCTTTGAGTAAGCAGCTATATTAAAAAAGAAAAGAAAAATAAGCAGCAGGCTGGTGCCGGTTTTGGCGCTCTCTAAAACGCCTGAACCGATGATCATATTCCAGATAACCTGGTTAACCCCTCTAGCCCGTTATTATAATATTTGCCAAGCCAAAACATAGTAATTGCTTATTTGCTCGAGCCCAATTACCACAGCATCCACATACATCCATGAATTCTTCGTACTACGTGACGAACAAAATATCTATAGACTTTTTATCAGGTATAGTGCTCGACCATAGAATCAACCATTGACTTTTGCGTACTTTTATTTCGTACTTTACATGTCTAGATCATACTATTTGGATGACTAAAAGTGCCGGTAATAAATACATAATATATTTAATTCTATTTATTAAAAATTTCTCCTATTTTCGTGTAATGAATTTAAATAATTCGTATTAATCTTTAATTTTATAAAAATACATTATGTATATACACGTAATATAATAATGTATTATATATATACATATTATACTTTATGAGATAAATTCAATTTACAAATCAGAAAATAATATTTTTAAACATAAGCATTTCTTATATCTTTACTTTGTATTACTTTCTTTGATAAAATTTGTTAATTGGATGAAACTCCTACAAATTTTGTTATTTATAGTTCAAATGTCTTTACAAAAGTAAGATTTATAAAAAGTTATCATAATATGATTCTATGTAATACATTGCATAAAGGATTTATAAAATAATTATAGAAAAAGTTGAGAAAAAAAAATGTTTAATATTTATTTTTCAAATTTTCTTGAGTTTTAAATGCATTAAAATTTGTTTCTTTTATGCTTATATTAAAAATTTGTATTCCTAATCATCTTTTTAGTGAAAAAAAAGAAATTGAATAAAATAAGTAGATAATGAAATTCATTTATACAAATAAAAATAACAAATATTTTAAAAACTAGTAATATATGAATGTTTAGACTTAGAGGACAATAAAATAAAAAAATGTATGTATGTAATGTATTTTTATTGTACCACAGTATAAAATATATGTAATAAAGATAGTTCTAAAAAAGTGAACTTCAATGTGTATTTCATAAAATTGAGAATGAAAGATGTACAAGAACTGTATAATGAAATAAGGTACTGATAGAACTATAAAGAAATATTTGCATTTGTATACATTTGATTTTATGGTTTCCATAATTTTAAAAGGCCATCTTCGCTATAAGAACATAAAAGATTCTGATGAGGATGATGCGTTAAACCTATAACATCTTTTTCGTGTATCTGAAGTGTAGAAATAATGTAAAAATAATATTATATAGTATAAAAATAAATTTTTAACATATAAAAATACAAATACTTACATTTAGAGTTCTTTCAAGTTTTCCTGATGATGTAGAAAAACAATAAAGCACAAGATCTTCACCAACACAATAAATAAATTCACCACGTGGACTTACAACAGTACATACAAAGTCACCTCCCTCTCGTTTTCCACTAGAGAATGATCTTACAATTTGTCCTTGCATATTCATAATTACTACTGTATTTGAACGATTACACACAACAAAATGTTCTGGATTTCGAGGAAGAAGATGTATGCTGTTAACAGTTAAATCTGAAGCTCCCAAAGATTTATATGTACCTATACATTCTGTTGTCTTTAAACTCCAAACTTTTACAGTTCCATCAGATGATGCACTGATTAACATAATCAACATAAGTAAAAAATTTAATAACCACTTTCAGAATAGATTTAATCAAAACCTAAAAAAGCAAAAATTATACCTTATTATATTATGTCCATCTGGTACAAAGACTACTTCATTTACAAAAGAAGCATGTCCTCGAAACTCTTTTAAGGTCTTTCCAGATTTGAGTCCATGTATCCTACAAGTATAATAAATGATTATGTTAAAAATAAACATGTATCTTAATTATTATTCCTGCATACCTTATAGTAGTATCAAATGATGCAGATAAAATTTGGCTATTATCTCTACTAAACTGAAGACATGTAACACCTTTTGAATGTGCTTTTTCAAATCTTCTTAAACATTGTCCACTTTGAACTCTCCATACTTTTATTTTTCCATCTTGTCCACCACCAGCTAACATTTCACTATCGCGACTAAAAGACATTGATAATACTGCTTGCTCCATCATCATAAAATTGTCTTGAGCTTGATATTTTAAGTCTTTTCTGATTTTACCAGTTGTAAAATTCCATACTTCAATGAATCCATCAACAGAACCAGTAACTAAATATTGACCATCTGGTGAAAAACGTGCACATTCTACATGAGACTTCTGACCAAATTTAATTTGCTTTGAAAGTTGAGTAGGATATTTTTCATCTTCTTGATCTCGAACTGCAGCTTTTCCCCTAAACAAGTCTATAGTAGTACCAGGTGGAAGTAAACCTTGATGTTGTTGCCATTTTAATGCCTGTCCTAATAATGCAAGTAATCTACTTGATGGTACTACTGATACTTCACCAGCTAAAGCAGTAGCTATGTAAGCTCTTCGTTTTTCTTTTGTACTTCCATCAGGATATGCTTCACGTGGGTCAAAGTACGAACGTGCAAGTAAATTTTCTATATTAAGGAAAAAAGATATGGTGTTAAAAATATATGCATCAAATACATTATTTTTACATAATAAAGTCAAATTTTTAATTATATAATACTACAAATATAAAATTATTATTTTTTTTTTAATATACCTAAATGTATATATCTTTCAGGTTCTTGTTGTTTCATCATAATCATAGGATCTGTTTGTCGCAATAATGATCGAGCTGCTCCTAATTCTCGTAATTCAATTAATTCTAAGACAACCTATGAATTATTACAAACATAATATTGATATTTATTAAAAGTAACACAATACATTCTTTTATCTCAATGACAAACCTGTTCATATAAATCAATAAGTTTTTTATCAGGTAATTTTAATGATTGTATTGCTTTTAATACTGTATCCCAATGACCATTATTTATATCTGCTACAAAACCATCTACACTATCTACTGTATTCAATGATACACCTGTTTCTTCCTATAAATATTATATAATTTTACTTTCATTCTTTCTAATTGCTAACAATATTGTGTCTGTAATACCTGTTTCTTTAAAAACGTATATATATATATATTATAAAAACAAATAGCTACCTGTAATGTTTGTAATGTTTTGACAAGATTTGATTCTTTAAGATACTGTTGTATCAAACGAATTACGCTAAAATCAAATAATAAGATATAAATATTAAGAACAAGTACAAAATTTTATTATTATTATTACATATAAAATAATTACTCTGCAGATTCAATTTCAATCGACATTTTTTATAACACTTTAAATATAATTCACACGAAAATAAATACCCTTATTTAATGAAAAATGACAGTTTCAGGTTATGTTATATCGACAAACAAACAATGCTACCACAATTCAATTGCTTTTCACTATTTTCATCACTAAATTTACACAAACAAAAAACAACTACATCAGTTTTTCGTTAATTTAGAAACATTTATGTTATAAAAAAAATATTTACTATAATTTAAATTGATATATTTAAAATTAAATGTTTATTATACTTTTAAAAAGATATTTAATAATGTATAATTGAAAACCTAAATTATTTAAATTATTAATTAAAAATATAATTATCATTGTAAATATTCATTGTTCAATATTAATTATATTTATTTATAAATAACTATAGTTTGTATTATACTATTATAAAATAAAAATTAACTATAGATATCCACTGCAACTCACTTCAAAACATTATATAGTAATTATGATAATAAGATTAAATAAATTTTTACTTTTAGAAGTAATTTAAAAAGAAATTTGACAAGAATGGTCTTAGCACATATGTTCAAATTTCGTGTCTTCTATGTACCAACCTATTCTTTCTTTGTTTACAGGTATGCATACATTTTTAATGAAACATTATATAGTATAATTCGATCATAATCTATGTGAATGAAATCTCTACTAATTTATAAAACAACGGAAAGAATATATTTATTAGTTATCATTCAATAAATTCACTGTTTATACAATAGTTATCTTAAATAGTAACATGTAACGCATTTTAAATACTAGATTTATTATTTTTGAAACAAAAAAAAATTAATCTTGTGAAGTGTATGACTGTGCATTCTTGTTATTTTACATTTATTCTAACCTAACAATATATTTTACCTTCTGTAATAAAATTTTTTATAATATTTTTATTAATATTAAATATTTACATAATATATACAATAATTTCATTATTAGAAGATATTATTTTTTAATTAGTGCGGTAAAACAAAATTGTAAAACTTCATACATTACAGGATACACAAGAATAAAGCATAAATAAAATCATTAAACATTTTTATATCAATAGTAAGTTATATCAACATATGCTCTTTTATGACAAAGCTTTGACATTTTTTTAGTGTTTATAATGGCATCATTACTTCAAAATGATAAAATCTTACGCACAGATATTACTACTGCCAAGTAAGAATTTATTCACATAATGATATTATTTAGGTGTAATATTTTTATTAATATGTGGGAATATTATTTTTCTTTAATTATTAATATTTATCAAGTTATGTTGGAAATTATATTCCATTATATCTATCGTTTTTAATTTTCAGGTGTAAATCGTCTAATATGAAAATAACCACATCTAACATGGCACCTCATAATCATATAGAAAAACGATATGAGAACATAATTAAATCACCAAATGATAAAAGAGAATATAGAGGTCTATTACTTTCTAATAAAATGAAAGTTTTATTGATTAGTGATCCTACAACAGATAAAAGTGCTGCAGCTTTGAATGTGAATATTGGTAAAATCAAATATATAATTGTATTTTTAGTTTTTAAATATAAGGAAATGAGTTACTATTTTTATAATATAAACTATATTTATTTTTATAGGATATTTAAGCGAACCCGATGATTTACCAGGTTTAGCACATTTTTGTGAGCATATGTTATTCTTAGGAACAGAGAAATATCCCGAAAAAAATGATTACAATAAATATTTATCACAAAATGGTGGCACATATAATGCATCAACTCACATGGATCACACTCTTTATTATTTTGATGTACACGCAGAAAAATTGAGAGGTGCATTAGATCGTTTTGCACAATTTTTTATTGCACCACTCTTTACAGAATCTTTAACTGAATTAGAATTAAATGCTATTCACTTGGAATGCGAGAAAAATTTAGCAAATGACACATGGCGTCTTGATCAATTAGAAAAATCATCTGCTGATCCAAATCATCCTTTTTCAAAATTTGATGCAGGCAATAAAGAAACTTTAGATATACTTCCAAAACAAAAAGGAATAAATGTAAGAGAAAAATTACTTGAATTTCATAAGAAATTTTATTCTTCTAATGTAATGGCATTATGTGTACTTGGCAAAGGTAAATAAAATATTTTATTTACTTATTTATTAATTAATGTCATTTAATAATTAAATTTGTGTAATACTATAACTTAAAGTTATAAGTGATATTATAACTAGCTATATAGAACTATTCTTATAAGTGATATTTTATATTTAGAGAGTTTAGATGAACTTGAAAAAATGGTAATAGAATTATTTTCTCAAGTGAAAAATAAAGAAATTGCAATACCTACTTGGCCACAACATCCTTTTAATGAGCAACATTTTCAACACAAGTGGTATATTGTTCCAATAAAAGATATTAGAAATTTATATATTATATTTCCTATACCTGATTTGACTGAACATTACAAATCTTCGGTAATAAGTATATTTATATCATCTCTTAGTATAATAATATTGTTCTTAATTATATAATAAAAATACTGCATTTTTTTAGCCAGCATATTATATCTCACATTTATTAGGACATGAAGGAGAAGGATCACTTTTATCTTTATTGAAAGCAAAAGGATGGTGTAACTCGCTTGGATCGGGTAAGCGATTAAGTGCCAGAGGCTTTAGCTTCTTTGTCGTTTTTGTTGATTTAACAGAGGAAGGTACTCAACATGTTGATGATATTGTTCTATTAACCTTCCAATATATTAACATGCTAAAGAAACATGGACCAGTTGAATGGATTTACAATGTAATTATTCTTTAACATAGATTTAATTAATACTTCACTATCAGAAACTAGTATTTTAGTTTATAGTAAAGAAATTCAGTCCTATCTAAACGTTTTTAACAAATTGTCATGATTATTATATTTTAAGCTACGCATTTATAATTAAAAAAAAAAAATTACTATAAATTTGTATTGATAGATGAAAATAACAAATATAAATAAATACAATAGGTTCGAAGCACACTAAATATCTGTTAATAAAGGAAAAACTATACATTCTGCTAGTGAAATGTTAAATATGACTATAAAATGTATCTAATAAAATAATTGTCTGCTTTTGAAGGAATGTAGAGATATTGCAAATATAAATTTCAAATTCAAAGAAAAAAGTTATCCTTGTGACTATGTCAGTAGTATAGCACAGAGATTATATGACTATCCAATGGAAGACATTTTAACAGTAGAATACCTTTTTCCATTATGGAAGCCAGATTTAATTAAGTGGGTGATGGGATATTTGAAACCAGAAAATGTTAGAATTCATGTAATTGGAAAATCATATGAAAATATAGCTGATGAAACTGAAAAGTGGTATGGTGTCAAATTTAAAAAAGAAAAAATATCACAAAATGTAATAAATGAATGGATTAATGCTGGTTTGAATCTAAATTTGAAATTGCCACCAAAAAATGAATTCATACCAGAAAAATTTGATATAAAACCAACAGAAAACAACGTGAGTAAAACTTTATTACTTTTTCTATATATATATATATAATATTGAAATAATTTTATTTTTATTGTATCTAGATATCCAAATTTCCAGTAATCATTGAAGATACTCCACTAATAAGATTATGGTTTAAACAAGATGATGAATTTGTTATACCCAGGGCTAATTTATTTATTGATTTTGTCAGGTATTATGCATAAAAAAATAGAATTCTATATAATTTATAATGAATGGCAGTGTGTAATATATATAAAAAATTAAATCTTGTGGGTATTCTCTTAGAAGAAATGTCCCAAGTTTTCATAAGAGTTATAGCTAGTTTTGTCTATGTTTATATCACACATAATATAATATAATTCGTATTTATATTTTCTGTATTGTCAGCTTACTGAAGTATGATTTATTATGTTTTGTTGACAGTCCACTAGCATACATGGATCCCCTTAATTGTAATTTAACATATATATTTGTATTATTGTTTCGTGATGCTCTAAATGAATATGCATATGCTGCTGAAATAGTTGGTCTTAGATGGGAGCTTACTAATAGTAGATATGGAATGATAGTAAGTAATAGCTTATAAAAAAATTATTTTATCATCTACATAATATGTATTATATAATGTGTATAATTTTTTAGTTGAGAATTGTTGGCTATGATGATAAACAACATGTATTACTAGATAAAATTATAGATAAAATGATCAATTTTAAAGTTGATCCAAAAAGATTTGAGATTTGGAAAGAAAATGTATGTGTTATTTAAATTTTCTTTAGCATTATTATTCTTATCAATGTTTATTTTAATTCTTTGAATTTTAGTATATTAGAAATCTAAAAAACTATAAAGCTGAACAACCATATCAGCATGCAGTTTATTATCTTACTGTTTTATTATCAGAACTAATGTGGATGAAGGAAGAATTACTGAATGCCACATCTTGTAAGTTTATGAAACATTTACCAATTTAGTCAGTAAATAAGTAGATAATAAATACTTGTTATAAATTTTAGAATTTATTAATTACATGTAGCATCATTATTGGTACTACAGAGTATTAGGTAATATTTTTTAATATATGATTTTATACATATATGTATACTTATTAAAGTTGTCTTTTATTTCATGTATTTAGACTTAACAGTTGAAAGAGTTCAAAATTTTATTCCACAATTTCTAAGTAAATTACATATGGAATGTTTAATACATGGTAATGTAACAATGTCAGAAGCTATTGAAACAGCAAAATTAATAGAATCAAAATTATCAAATACAAATCCTCATATAGTACCACTTCTATCTAAGCAGCTAGTTTTACATCGCGAAATCAAATTAGATGATGGTAAGTGTAGTTACTTCTGTATATTAGATGGTTGCTATAGAAGAATGTATGTTACTTATGGACGAATTGACTCCTTATTAACATTAGTAATCAATAGTAACATTGATTGAGGTTTTATAACTTTTAAAATTCTAAATATTTTGATTAAAAAATTAGAAAGATTAGAAAAAACATTTCACTTATTTTCAAATATTTCATTTCAAATAAAAAATATTGTATAATAAAATTTATAAGACTATTATTAATATTGATATTTTTTCAATGCAAATAAGCGAGTAATTAGAACTTCTGATTTTTGATACATCAAGAATAATTATATTTGGAGATGCTTGTTTATTTATTACGAATTTTCTTCTCTAATACATAAAATTTAAAAATTAAATAAGTCATATTAATTATATGCATAAGCATATACGGTAGTTGATTAAAAATAAAAGACTATTTACAACAGACTTTCTGTTTTAAGAAAAATCAATATTTTTCTCCCATATATTTTTTAGGTTGTCATTTTTTACTTGAAGTAAAAACTAAATTTCATACTAGTTCATGTACACAAGTTTATTATCAAACTGGCTTACAATCAACAGAATCGAATATGCTCCTAGAACTTTTAGCACAGATTTTATCAGAACCATGTTTTACCATGTTAAGAACTAAAGAACAATTGGGATACATAGTATTTAGTGGAGTTCGAAGAGCAAATGGAGCACAAGGTTTAAGAATTATAGTTCAAAGTGATAGACATCCTAAATACGTTGAACAAAAAATTAATGTATTTTTAAATTCAATGTTGGTTAGTAATTAAATTATAAACGTTACTAAATAAATTTATTTAAAAAATTTGCATTTAAATTTTATTTATTTCAGCAATATATATCATCTATGACAGAAGAAGAATTTAATGCACATAAAGAATCATTAGCCGTACGCCGACTTGAAAAGCCTAAACAAATGACTATTTTATCTACTATATTTTGGAGTGAAATTACAGCGCAACAATATAATTTCGACCGCGCAAATATAGAGGTTGCATATTTGAGAACTATAACACAGGAACAAATACTACAGTTTTATGAAGTATGCATGTAACAATTGAATTACTTAGATAAACAGATTATTATGAAAATATACAACTTATATTTCTATCTTTTCTAGGATATACTTCGAAGTGATATTCAACGCAAATTATCAGTACATGTTGTTTCTACATTAAAAGATACAAATTCAGAAGATGAAAAGATAATAAAATCTGAAGAAAATATTGCAGATGAAATAGATACTATTGAATATAAAAATATTGATGATATTATGATATTTAAAATTAGTCAGTGTTTGTATCCATTAATGAAGCCATTTACAGATATACCAAGGAAAGGAGTGCATTCGTCAAAATTATGATGTGCTTAATAATTGTGAATATGTGTTTTAATCATGCATTTGTAGATTACAATGAATATCAAATAAATAAATTATTCTAACATACTGTTACATAGAGAAAAATGTTTAACATATTAAACAGTCATTTAGAAGTATTAACTTTATAAATGTTAGTAAATAGAAAAATAAAAATATATTAGCTATATAAAGTGAAAATGTTATACATCTGAAACAAAATTACATCAGTATGTAACAAATCCACGTAATATATATTTTTATTTCTCTAAATTTTTAAACATATATATTTTATTAAAAATGTATAAGTATTTACACATGAATAGATTAAGTATTAAGAAATAAAAAGAAATAAAAAGAGGACTTAACGGTAAAATATATAATTTTTATTTGTTTTATTAAACATACAAAATTTGATATACTTAAAATTTTATAAAAATAAATATATATTTATTTTGAATGAATTATAAGAAGTATATTAACATATTTAGTATTTTTAATTTGTAAAACAAAAATAACTAATATTATTATTTAACATCAATATATGAAACAATATATCAAAAATTATGTGAAACGATTAAAGATTTAAATCTTTTACATTATTAAAATCTTTGTGACAGTACAATAATGTACAAAATTGTATTAATAAGTTTTAAAAAATTAGAATTTGTTATATAGCTCATTATCAAAAAGAAAGAATTTGACGAACAAAGGAAAGGAAAATGATATGACAAATATGTAAAATAATATTCCTTCAATTATAAAGTTTGAATTTCAAGTAAATCTATAATTTAATAGATACAAATACTAGTTCATATATTCTACCTAAAAACTAGAAACTAAGCATTATGTTATAATAATAAGAAGCACTCTAAATAGAGCAACTATTACTCAAAGATTTAGAATGCAATAGAAGGAAGTCATTAATACAAATTATAACATGTAGATATTATTAAATTTTAACTTTACCTATCAGATCAAGAAAGTTAAGAGGCACGAAAGACACTAAAGAACAAAAAATTAATAAACAAAAGTGGATCTATAATGGAATGGCTGTAATCGCATTTGAAAATATCAGTGGTTTACTATTGACTTGAAGCACAATTTCAATGTAAAACTGCCGATTTAAATATGTATTTAAATATAGTATCCATAAATAACACTAATTAAAGTTATGTAATGAAAATGATCGGATATATTTAATAGGCACAAACGATATAGCACATTCACAAATTATTGCATTAAGCTATGACTTCGATTAATACAAGAATATTGTTAAAATTGCTGAACGATTTAAGAGCATCTGTAATTTCTAGCTATAGACATTTAACATTAAAAAATAAACTGGACAAAAATTCGACTAATTTAAAATTTTAATTTAGTTCGTTAACTGTCACTTTCTGATTAGTAAATTATATTTAATTAATATATTTAATAATTATATTTAATATTTAAAATATTTAAAACAAATTTAGCCTTTCATAAACCTTTATCAGCAATATACAGCAATAGAAGAACTTATTTAAAATTTTTATCGTACGTCACTCTCGAGAAACCTGTTCTCTTTAAATGTATCATATTTCTGTTTCGAAAGTCGAAATATTTGAACTTCTAAACTCAATTAATTTTACGAGCACGCTGTATCGCTTGAACCCACTGTAATTATGCTTTTATTTGAATAGTAGTCAATATTAATTTTATAAAAAGCAATCGTATATTTTTATTAAATGTAAAACCAATTTGATCAGTTTGGTAGTTCTAGTATTAAGCAGTATCAATGTTACCCATTTTAAGAAAAATTGTAAGAAATTTTTAACAGTAATTTTTGTAAGGTCATGGAAAATAACTCTTTTTTTATCCACAATAGAAACATTTGATTTTATATAATTTCATCGGGTAATACAAATAATAATTTGAACAGTTACTTTCACAATAAAGATTGTTATTTTATATCGACTTTATTAATTAGGTGACTATGCAACTATTCATAGATTCACTTTCTATAGATAAAACTAACGGTCAAGTAAAAATAACATGGATGACATATGTTTATGTAGTACTCAAGATTCGAACATAGTAATGATTAAAATAAAAAAAAATTCTTTAATATCGTCTAGTTTATAAATTGATATAGTCATAGATTTCATTAAATTGAGATATACTAAGCAAATTCCGTTTATGCAGATTATCAACAAATTTGCAATTCGGATATTTCAAAAATTTCAAAATTTCTGTATTTTATATGTTATTACTATAAAAAATAAAGTTTAAAGAAAGATCAATAAATATAAAATGACCTTTTCTTTTTTCTACTCTACTCTTAAAACAGAAAATAATATGTAAGAAGCTTGTTTCATAGCGTACTCAATCCGACTACACATGAACTGGGAAAACTCTTTAAGTATTATAGCTTATAGTGGGTATTATTGATATATATATATATATATATATATATATACACCGCTTTTTCTAATAAATATTACAATATTGTTTCTTGAAACAACTATCATTATATTCTACTATTTAATAGATGTCGCTATAAATTTTTCTTTTAGTATTGTATTTTGAACTGTTTAGATGGCGTTAAAAACGCGTTACGAAATGCAAATTCGAGTATCCTATCTATTCCCTATAAATTGTGGCTTCTCTTCAAGTTGATTCTCTTTGGTTTCGCTGATCTCAATTGCTCAAAATCCTCTTTGAGATATTTCGTATTGCCCTTATACACCTGAAAAGGGGTAGTTCTACAGTTGTACGTGCATCTAAGTAAGTTAAAAAGTAAACGTTATTAAATTTCAAATAATTTTCTAGCGCTTCTAAGATAACCTGATTGTTGTAAAAGGCTCAACTTTTTTATAAATTTCAGCCATCGTGGTCTCATTGCATGACCTTAACCTTAGAAATAATAAACTACTCGAAATGTGCATTTTTTACATAAATTTGTTTACTTATAATCTCTATTGTACAATAATTTATAAGTAGGAATTTTGACGTAATAGAATATATTTAATGAAAGTCGCCATTTGTCAAAGAAGTGCCAACAGATTTAAAGTCAAATGCCAGCTCATTATGGTCACATTGTAGTTTCTTTTTTAACCTTATTAAATTTTAGTTTCGTAATACAAATATTTTTAATAAATATTAAAATAATTTAATGTAAAATAAAAGTAATTTTCAAAATGTTAAAATAATACATAATAAAAAGCAAACATATATAAATATTATAAATTGACCTCTTTAACTTATATAAAAATGAAAAATTTTGAAATGTATTGAAATTTTTACCTTTTCAGAAAGGTATTGTATGAGTCAAAAAATAGAAAAACCAATATTATCAGGTCAACGCATAAAGACCAGAAAAAGAGGTATGTTTTAAAAGATATAAAATGTTTTAGATAATATTTAAGGAAAATTATAACAAAGATGTCTTTTAGATGAAAAAGAAAAATATGATCCAATGGGATTTCGAGATGCGATTTTACTTGGTTTGGAAAAGGCTGGTAACGACTTAGATGCAATTTCAAAGTACTTGGATACAGCTGGCTCTAAATTAGATTACCGCCGATATGGAGAGGACCTATTTGACATCTTAATAGCTGGTGGACTTTTGGTTCCAGGCGGTTCTATTGCTCAAGATGGTGATAAACCAGTTAAAACCACTGCTTGTGTTTTTGAACAACCAGAAGATATGGAATCCATGCGAAATTTTGAACAAGTAATATATTCTATTCTACATATGTTTGAAAAAGATGTATTCAGCTTTCATTATATGATCTTTAACAATGACCTTGGAAATGATTTTATAGGTTTTCATCAAACTTATGAGACGTTATAAATACTTGGAAAAAATGTTTGAGGAAGAAATGAAAAAAGTATTGGTTTTTATGAAAGGTTTTACTCCTAAGGAAAGAATAAAATTAGCTAGAATGACAGCTTTATGGATATCTAATGGTTCAGTACCACCTACTGTTTTATCAGTCTTAATTAATGAACATCTGGTTAAAGATAATTTAGCATTAGACTTTCTATTAGAAGTTTTTGTCACTTGGAGACAAGAAAAAGGTTTACCAAGTTTAATGACTGCATTGAAAAAAGGCAATATTGAAGGAAGGTATGGGAAAATTTTGTACTTCATAAAATTCTATTTTATATTTATATCAGATTTTTTGTTTTATTCTTGTTATCTTTTTTTTTTTTTTAATAATCAACAGGTTAATGGAATTTGTACCGCCTAATAAACGAACTGAAGAGTATTTTCGATCTGTATTTGAAGCTGTTGGTCTTGCAGACATTGTAAAATTACATAAAGCTCAAGCAAGTCAAGAAGCAAAACGAGACTTGCAACAACTATTGTTGGATGATTTGGCCGATAATCGTCCTATGAAAGACATTATACTTGATCTCAAAGAAATGGCACAGAAGAGTGGTATTCCTGAACATGAAGTTATTGGTTTGGTAATGTTATATAATTTTATAATTATTGTTATTATTATATTACACTATAAAACTAAAGTTGAATAAAAATATTAATAATTTTTTATAGATTTGGGTTGTAGTGATGGGTCAAGCTGAATGGAATAAAAAAGAAGAATTGGTAGCTGATCAAGCACTGAAACACTTAAAAGTATACAATCCATTGTTTGATGCTTTTACAACCACTGCCAGATCTGAACTTGCGCTTATTCTCAAGGTCCAGGAATTTTGTTATGAGAATATGAATTTCATGAAAGTCTTCCAGAGAATTGTTTTACTATTTTATAAAAGTACGTTTATAATACTAACAACATACATAATGCAGACTAATAATTCTTAATCATGTCCATCTTTTTAATCGGTATATTTCATTTTAGTTGATGTAATATCGGAGGAAGTGATTTTAAAATGGTATAAAGAAGGCCATTCTGTTAAAGGAAAAATGCTCTTCTTGGATCAAATGAAAAAATTCATTGAATGGTTACAGAATGCAGAAGAAGAATCTGAATCAGGAGAAGAAGACGATTAAAAACACAAAAGTATGTTTTATCAAGGTTTTACAGCTTTGTTTTTAACTTTATATTATTTTTATATTTCAGAATAATATAAGCTTCATTATCAAAAAATTATATATTTGGACTTTATCCAAAATTTTTTAAATGGATCAAAATATGAACTGAATTGGATTGTATTGATAAACGGAAATTTTGAAAAAAATAAAGTTTGTATCATTCTGAGACACACTATATCGAGACAAGTACATACAATTTTTTAATCATTAAAGAATAAAAAAAACATTATATTACCATCTGATTAGCGAAGGAGATAAATTGTAAATTTACAGTGTCTTTAAATTGTATTACTTTAAGAAAAAATATTTTGTGTTACATTTTTATAACACCGCTATAAAATATATACAGAATAACAAGTTAATGAAGAAAAGATCTTTATCTCTGTGTACGTATAATTTTCAAACCCACATTCTTTGTATGATAATATTGTACTAGTTTTTAGAAAATATATTGTCAGGTGGTGTTTAATATTCGAATTTTTTATGACTCCTATTTAATTTCCTATAATATTAATTTATAATAATGTTATTATTAATATTCTAAATCTGTAATAATAAAAGTAAATTAAAACTATAAAATGTTTTTAACAATTACCTAATTGAAATAAATAATTTTACATTATATATATATATATATATATATTAATTTAATTTTTTATTTTTTCAATTTTACTTTCTCATATTATGGTTAAAAAAATTTAACAGATAATTATAGAACTATTGAATACTACAATAATTAATGTATGAAATATATAATGAAGCATTTAATAATTTGGTTTATTTCTAATATTTTATTTTGTATTTAATAATATAATTGTTGACAAATATTCTTCCATGTAGTTGTGAAATTGAAATACTCAACAAAGATAATAATTATTTTTATTTCTATCTTTAAATGTTACTTAATAACTTAATGTTAATTAATGATTTATATATTAAATCTGTTTATATTTATGGAGTTTCATATTTGCAATTTGTTGTTTAGAAATAAGTGTCTTTCCTCTCATGTAAGGTATTAAAATTTCCGGAATTTTAATACGTGAATGACTTGTTTGATATGATTCACAAAGTGCAATTAACATGCGAGGTATAGCACATGCAGTTCCATTTAAGGTATGAACATGTAATAGTTCTCCATTTTTCGTTTTATACTTTATACCAAGTCGGCGTGACTGATAATCTGTACAATTGCTACAGCTAGATATTTCTCCATATAATTTTCTTCCAGGCATCCAACTTTCTATATCTACTTTTCTAAATATATAAATTTGTAATATAATGTTATAAAACTTAAACTTTGTATAGTTCAATATGTCATATTAAATTACAGACCTGTATGCTGGAGACCCTAAATCATGCGGTGGCATATCAATTATTCGAAAATGTAAATTTAAAGAAGAAAATAAATCTTCTTGAATTTCTTGAAGTTCTTGAAATTGATTTGTAGACTCTTCTTGTTTTGAACATACAAACATTTCAACTTTTGTAAACTGATGAACCCTTAATATATGTAAATAAAATTATTTATCAGATATTTACATAATTCTTAAACCATTAATATTGGAATAGTTGCTAAATATATCATTATATTAATAAAATATATTCAAAAACATATATAATATGACATTACCTATATAAACCTCTTTCTTCCTCAAGATTAGATACTTCTGCTCTAAAACACCTACTCACAGCAGCAATTTTTAATGGTAAATCTTCAGAATCATATATCGTATTCATTACTTTATAAGCTAAGGACATTTCTGCTGTTCCAGATAAACTGTAATTTTCTCCATAAGAAGAACTTAAATTATATACAAGAGTTCTTTCACTATCTTTTAACAATCCACATCTTTCTATAACTTCAGTAGGAATAATATCAGGTACAGAAACAAATTTAAAACCATGTTTCATTAACTTTTTGACTGTATAATGAACCAATGCTTCTTCTAATTCTGCTAAATCTCCAAGAAGTAAGTATCCCCGTTGTCCTATTAAGGGCCCCAAAGATTGCATTTTTAATGCATTTAGTTTTGTAACTAATGATACAAATTTTTGTAACTCAAAATTAAATTGTGGCTTAGTCCCACATTCTTTCAAAATCTTTGGCTCTTTATAAGATAATATTGTAGGATCTGTTTGATTTGGTATTTTATTTAACTCGTGTAAAAAAGATTCGTTTTGTTCTGGTTTTTTTGAAAGTTCAAGAACTTTATCAATATCTCCAATACTTTTTCTTATTAATATATTATTAAAAATAATATCTCGATTAGATGGATTACATAGAAAATCAATATTATACTCAGGTTCTGGAATATGTGGTATTGTGTTTAAATTATATTGTGCACATTGTTGTCTAAACTGTAAAATGTACATATAGATATGTAATTAATTGATTACAACTGGAAAAAGATAAAATAAATACTTCTTATATTATATATAAATATATAAAAAATAACATACCAAAGTTTTTGTATAAAGTTGATGATATTTAAGAAAGTGATTGAATTGTCTCTTAAACCACATTTTAAAAGCAATATAATATTCCTAGCAAATACACGAATTAAGTATTATTACACTGGTATTAATTAACCTATGATTTATATGACTCTTAGTGTATATGCTACCTATAAATTTTCATTTTGTTTTAAAATTACTTTAAATAATTTACATTGTGTAGATAATTAATTATTGTCGAATAATTATACTTTCTAAAAATATAATTAATTTCTTTTTTTATATACAGTACAATTTTACAAATTGGTGAGATTCGTCGTTCTTCAAATTTAAGACTTTAATTATATCATATTATTGCAATACTTTGTAATAATATTTTATGATAATCTGTAAGTTAAAATTTTAATTTACTTATATTATAATATACTATTATATATCTTGTGTATAATGTAGTATCATACTTTCAAAAATTATAAATTGTAACTTTATAATAATTTTAAATTTGATTAAAATAAAATATCAATAAATTCATTTATTGTATTATAAATTTATAATTTATTTTAATATTTTTATAATAATATACTTTTAAATTTAATAAAAAAATTAACCTTCATAATTATTAATTTATTAACATAAAATTAAAAGTAATTCCATTTCATGTTGTATATAAGTAATATAATAAATTACATTTATAAAAAAAGTAAAATATTAATTGCAGGTAACTATGGTTCCACGAACATTCCTAAAAAATTGGACCTTTTTCAATCATTTTTTACATAAACATTATACTGTTCAAAATAAATTAAAAAATTTGAAATATATTGGTATTGGTATATTTGCAAGTGTTGTGATTTATAATACAACAGGTGTTACAATATTAGCATCTCACAATGAGTTTGATATTAATCAATTTATGGCACAACCTATTACTGATATTAAGGAATTAGAGAGAAAAAGTGATATGAGGAAAAAAATGGAATTATTAGTAATGAAAACTCAAGCAGATTTTTGTAAAGCTTTGGAAACTTTAGAAGATTCAGACTTTCATTTTAAAGTTGATAGATGGACTAGAAAGGAAGGTGGTGGAGGAATTACTTGTGTTTTACAAGATGGAGTTGTTTTCGAAAAGGCTGGTGTAAATGTATCTGTTGTTACTGGTACTTTACCACCAGGTGCAGTACAACAAATGAGAGCACGTGGGAAAGAAATGCAGGAGGGATCTGTACCATTCTTTGCAGCTGGTGTAAGTGCTGTAATTCATCCTCGTAATCCTATGGTACCAACAATACATTTCAACTATCGTTACTTTGAAGTAGAAAATTCAGATGGCTCAATTCAGTGGTGGTTTGGAGGTGGTACTGATCTCACACCTTATTATTTAAATGAAGATGATGTAAAACATTTTCATAGTACTTTAAAAATTGCATGTGATAAACATGATCCTTCTTATTATCCAAAATATAAAAAATGGTGTGATGATTATTTTCTTATTACACATAGAGGAGAACGTAGAGGAGTAGGTGGTATCTTTTTTGACGACATTGATACGCCTAGTCAAGAAAAAGCATTTGAATTCATAAAATCTTGTGCAGAAGCTGTTATTCCTTCATACATTCCATTAGTTGAAAAACATAAAAATGATGGATATGGATATACAGAAAGACAATGGCAATTATTGCGTAGAGGAAGATATGTTGAATTTAACTTAATATATGACCGTGGAACAAAGTTTGGTTTATATACGCCTGGTGCACGATATGAAAGTATATTAATGTCTTTGCCTTTAGCTGCAAATTGGCAATATATGCATGAACCAGAACCTGGTACAAAAGAAGCAGTACTTGTTGATGTGTTAAGAAATCCTAAAGATTGGTTAAACTAATGTAGATAACATTTATTTATGAAATTATCATTTGTCTTAAGATAATGTAATTTATTTCTTTTTTCTTTTCATTTATGTTCAAGCAGAATATTAATTAAAAAAAATTAAGATATAGAATGAAGCCATACTTTTAAAACATTTAAATATATTTTTTAAGTATAAGGAAGGAGTTACATATATAAACTTTATATTTAAGGAATTAAATATTGTATAAATTACAAATTATGTATAAAAATTTTACCTGTTATTGATACATCTTATATAAAAGTAATATTCTTATACAATACAACTGTTAGCAGTGTAGGTGCTCATGTGTGCATTACCTTTTAATATTATTATAAATATTACATAACTAAATATAACAATTGTTGATCTTTACAAATACTGTTTAAAGTTATTTTATTTGTATAACAGATGATGATAATAAATTTGATATAATCTTACTTTATTCAGTAAAATATTCAGTCTTAGAGCATATTTTATAAATTACATATATAATTATAAAAATAATGATGAAAATTTATTATACAAAAAATCATTGGTAGAAATTAAATTAAAATGAATATAAAATATTTAAATCTAAGAAATATACGAAGGAAGCAGATGTTAACAGGTATGATAATTTCAGTTATCAGTATGTAATTTTTGAGCACTTTTTTTTATAGTACTATTTATATACAAAGCAAAAAAAAAAAAGTTTGTAGAATTCATAAAAATATGGAATTTGTTTGTATTAACTATGTACAATTTTCTTTGAATAAATACATATGTAACAAACAGATTAATAAATGTTTTAGATATTTATACGAATAAAAAATTTTAAATATTTGACATATAAAAAACTGTAAGATTATTAAAGAAAGGTAAAATATTTTTTAAAAGAAAAATGATTTTTTCATATATAGGAACTATGTTTTGTAGATAAATTAATAAAATAGAATAGATTAAGTGTTTTTTTGAATATTATAAAAATTAAGTGGGATCTCTACCACTCTAAATATATTTCATACAAGCAAAACTAGATTAAACACTTGTTTCTTTTTTTACTATTTGTAAGTAAGTATTTGGATTATTTAAATATGTTTTACTGACTTCAATATGTTGTATATTTTGTTGTTTGTTTAAATTTTCTACTTCATTTTTTGTATCTAAACTTTTTACAATATTACAAGACCTATGCATAAGTGATGTCATATCAATCATAGAATTGACAAGTTTTTGTTTAGATCTGTACTCATCAGTGCACGTATTAGAGGCACATTCAGTATTTATTGTAGGAGTAACGTATGTTGTCTGTACTAAATTATGTAACTTATCATTTGTTGCACTATTTACTTTAGGAAAACGTAATTCTATTTTATTAAATGATTTTTGAGATAGAGAACTTTTGTCACATAAATTTGAGCTTGTAATACTTAAATCTGTGAATGATTTTAAATATTCACATTTTTTTAAACTGGTAAGAGATGTAATGTCATTTAATGAATTACAATAATTATTTCTTAATGGTTTCACAGTGTCTACTGGAAGGCAGTGCATACTATTGGAATGAGTTAACCATTTTAAAGTTGTATTAGATTGTGATTCTTCTACTTCATGAAATTCATTCATACTTTGACAATCATTTTTTAAAAATTTTGCTTCCATGATAGTTTCTACAGTTTCATAAACTTCTGGCAAATTATGATCACTTTTTTCACTAGTTAGTTGAGTAGTAGATTCTACCTCGGAGCTATATTCTAAACTACATTGCTGTGAAACACTTTGTAGGTTTTTTTCTTCATCAGTTTTAGTGTCTACATCTGAGTCATGTAACATTGTACTTAATAGTTCTATTTTTTGGCAATTGTTTCTTGCAGAGTTTGATATTGTGTTTACAGAATCATGTAGTCTACAATTATTATTAACTTTGCGTACATTTCGGAAAAGACCTTCTTGACCAATAATAAATCGCACTGGAACACTTCTTTCCTCTGAAACACTACCACCGCTATCTGAGAGTATATTAACGTTTTTAATATCATTTATTGGATTTAATTCAACATGAATATTTGTATTATTTACTTTAGCGCTACTACTTAAAATAGTTTGGTCTATATTACTTTCTAATTTTGTAGTAGATCGTGGAATAGAGATACAACTACCAGCATCACTCATAGCACCGCCATCACCTTGTTTCCGAGGACCAAGATTATTATTTTTTGTATGACGACGTTGTTTTCTGAAGAATTTTCGAGCAACTCCACTTTGATGAGGATTATAAAACATTTCAACACAAGTTGGTTCAATATATGTTGTTACAGAATTATCAGACCTGTACTGTTGTCTATGTAATACAACTAAATTTACATTTGTCATTTTTCTACCAGCAGGTGAAACTTCTTGACTGGTTATGATATCTGTAACTTTAAATGCATTATATGTTTGCGATCTATTGGTATATCTAGATGAGCTAATGGAATTTGAATCAGATGTAACTTGGGTAGCCTGAGAATTAGACATTGGAGGTACCAAATTTTGCACCAAAGATTGTGTTGCTATTACAGGATTTGCGTCAGAAATACTTCTTGTCCGACAACATCGATTTTTTCGCTTTTGAAACCAACAGCCCATTTTTAACCATTGTGATCTAACATCATTTCGTGCAATACCATAAAAAAAAAGTACAAAAATACCAAGCGAACTGGAAAAAAATGAATATAAAGTAGCAAATATAGTTTCATCAAAGGAAATATATGCGCTTAATGGTTTTGTTGTAGCTGCTGCTGCAGTAATCCATGATATTAAATATAAAACTAATGTTATTATTTGACCTTTCAATTGAGTTATTTGAGAATGTTCTGAATCTTCAATATCAGATGAAACAGTTTGTGCACTATGTGCACTATTTCTGCCTACAGAAAGATTTGTATTTGGTTCCAATAATTCTAAATCCATATTTTCTGTCGCTTGTGTTCCTTCAGACAATTGGGCATTCATATCAACATTTTGAATTGAACATTTAATGAGTAAATGAAAAATTATTAAATATGCAATTAGAACTCCAGCTGGAACAAATAGAGCAACAAGAGCAGGACCAGATGTGAGGAAACAATATGAATATCCAGCATATTCTCGTAGATTTATTGCACCAGATATTCCACAAATGATCATAGCTATACCCCAGCCAACTAAATAAAGTCCCAATAATGGTTTTGGTATTGGTTGATCTTGAAGTTCATTATCTGGAATATCTTCAAGATCTGATTTAGATAATTTTTTATACATATTGCTGTAAATAAATTAATTTTTTTATATTTGTTCATTGTATAAAGCATATGAAATTGTTTTTATGAAATATGAAAGAAATTGTTTACCTTGCAAATACTGTCATCCATAACAGAGAACATAAAGACAAATAATGAAGAGTAAGACCAACACCTTGACAAATTGGTATATTTTCTGTTTGGTAAATGCCAATACTATAAAAGAATGATAATAATGCCATAGCAAACCAAGTATTAATAACACAATGTTTAGCCTTTTTAGGCATAGTAATCGATGTGTAACAAATAATGTATGTAACAGACATAATAATTAAACATGTTATTGTTGCAATACTCCCAATATATATTGCTGGATTTGAATATCTGAATTTTGCTCCACTTATACTAGAAACAAAAGTATTAAAAATTAATCCATAAATTTATATACAAAATTTTATAAATACATACCTATTACCATCATAATCAAATGAAGATGTATCTTGTAGAAGACCATAATATCCTAATCTATTGCAATGAAATACTATTAAGTTGTTTAATACATTCCTTAAGTGGCAACCATCACTTGTCCAACCACCTGATTTATTTAATGTCTCATCCCACACTACTGGTAATAATTTTTTTCCAGCATAATAGTACAAAGGTGCTTTTAACATAATGTATACTGGTTCAGTTAAATTATGTACTGATACACCATCTGAAAATAAATTTCAACTTAAATATTATTCTGGTTTTTAATTCCTTATATCTATTTTTAATTACATACATAGTTTGCTTCCAATAACACAAGATGCAATATCCATATTATTGTTATCAATTACTTGAGGGAATAATCTATTATTGCTATATACAGAAATCATTAATTGATGAGCAACAACTTCTTGTGAATACTGTAATAAAGATGCAGGTAAGTGTATAGATGCTTCGATTATTCTATCTTTTATATTAATAGGAGATGTTCTGTTATTTGTTGTACATTGCAGAAATCGGATTTCTGGATTATTATTGGAGTACCATGTACATATCAATCCTGTGAAACTATCACGTTTCACTCTAAATTCTTCCAGTGCCATATTTTTCTTATAAAATTGTATAGATGGCGTAAATTCTATAATTTTTTCTACAGCTTTTATTAATCGTGTACATGATTTAAATGAAATTTCAGCTTTTCTCAAAATAATCTTTGGTACATTAATCAGAGTACTAATAACGTCAATTAACATGGAACCAAGTTCTTTTTCTTCAGCTAAAAAATTTAAATAATTTTCTATAGTTCGAGTTATGAAATTTATTTCAACAGGATCAGTTATTTTTATGGCATTTCCCGTATAATTTTTAAATTTCTTCGCGGTTTCTAACAAACTAATCTTCGTAAGTGAAAGATTAACTTTAGAAAACTGTTCTAAACTTTTTGTTGTATGTGATATGTAAGGACACAATTCTGTATTTAGATTTTCCCAATATCCTGTAATATTACATTGATAGAAAGCTTTTAATGGCATTTGCATTAAACCTGATAAATGATTGCCTTCACATGGTAATTCTGCCCTCCATCCTACTACAGTTTTGGGCCATGTATAAATACCTTTATTATTTTTAGTTACTGAAATACATAATTATTTACTTAATTATTACATATAAATTTGAAATATACAATTTGTCTTACCTGCTAAAGGACAATAACGTGTTTCTTCAGAAATAACAATTACACTAATTGCTTTTGATCTATTGCCATTTATTGAAACTAATAAACAGTTCCACTGACCATTATGTTCTTCTTTGACTGGAACAATAGTAAGTGAACTACAAAAATCATAATATCATTATACATGTACATAAATACACTAATTTTTATCGTATTAAATGCTAAAATACCTGTCCACAATGCCACTATCTGCAAGATATCTATTATCAATTTTAATATTAGGTAAATTTTTTTGTGGATCTATAAATGCATTTAAATCTACAGTTTCAGAAGTAGTGTTAGGATACCATAACCAACTTAATTTTGCATTTCTATCTTCTGTTATACTAGGTGCTCTACATTTTAAAGTTATAGAATCTCCAGAAAATACCACTTGATTATGAATTGGTCGAAGTTCAATTGTAGGAGGTAACCATTGACACTGAATATTTTCTGAATACTTCAATTTTTTTACAAATTCACCTTTAATATTTACAGGTGATGCACATTTTGGAGGAGGACTGAAATATTAAAAAAACATCTATTATAAACTATAATATCGAATTTTTATTTTTGTATTTATTAAATGTATTACTTTAATTTAATAGAACTATTATGAATCCAATTACTGAACCAATATAATTCACAATCACATCTCCATGGGTTATTTGATAGATCTCTGAAATATAAATGGAGATTTAAATAATTTTATTTTACATGTGTATTATATTATTTAACTTACTTACAACTGTTTTAAAGATTTTAGGCCATAAAAAGTACCTTCCATTAAAGTTGTTAGTCTATTTTCATTTAATTTCCTATAATATTTTTATAAATCAATGTCTTCATTTTAAATACCCATACATATAATTATAGTTGTACAGATATATAAAATCAATAACATAAATAGAAAAAAAAAAGTAAATTAAAATTGAAACCAGAAACTCACTTACAAGCGTTCTAAAGCCAGTAAATCATGAAATAATGATGGTTTCATCACATTTATGTTGTTGCCTGACAAATCGCTAATAATCAAATAAATAATATATAAGATAAAAGAACACATATAAAAATGTACATCAATGTATTTTATATAGTTTATAAACTTACAGCCTTTTCAAATTTGACAACTTTCTAAATGTATAAGCATCTATAGTTGAGATTTGATTTTTACTTAAATCCCTAAATAACAATTGAATGTATATGTAAAATTATTATATTAAATAATAAATATACTGTATAATAGCAAATATTTATATTCTTACAGTCTCTCTAAATTTCCAAGACCATTAAAGCAATCTTCACCAATAAAAGTTATATCATTATGTGATAAGTTTAAACGTTTCAAATTTGTTAAATTTCTAAATATATTAGCTTCAATAGCATAAATATTATTTTTGCTCAAATCTCTGAAATATATTAAACATAACGAAAAAAATACAATTAGAAGTAGATATTATTGTATTGTAAAACAATGTATAATAACATAATAATCTTACAATTGTACTAATTCCACACTGACACTATCGATATTGATATCCCTAATATTTTGTAATTCATTACTACATTTAATACGTAGCCATTCTGCTTGTGCACCAAGTTTACATGTGCAATACTTTGGACATGTTTGTATTGTTTTTCCTCTTGTTTGAATTAAAATTAGAAATAATAAAATAGCTCTCATTTTTAATAAAGACTGATTTTTACCTAAAGAATACAAATTTCAATTAATAGACAAACATTGAAATTAATCAAACAATAATTACATAAATTACTTAAAAAATAAATATTTTAAATATAAATATTGAAAATAAAATATTATAACAATCATTACACTTTTGAACAAAATTACGGAAAAGATTTTGTTACGATTAAATATATAATTTTCATTCATAATTCAAAACATTTTAGTATAAAAACAAAAACAGAATAAAATGATTTTATAAAAATATAAACAATGAACTTTCAAATAAAGAGTTTAATACTTACAACTGTGGCAAAAATTATATTTATCATATTGTTTCAACCTTAAAGTCCATATATTTTTATCAATTGATAATTGCAAAATTTATTAGTAATCATACGTTTATAATGATACTAAAAGAACAACTTACGAATTGTCATAAACTATCGACTATATATCTGTATCTAAAGTATAGAACTAATTATAGGCTGATTTTCACGTATTATATTATAAAAGTATTATTTTTATTTTATTTGATAGAAAATTATTTGATAAAAATTATTTCCAAAACACAGATTATAAAAAGAAAAAGCATGAAACATTTTAATATATTCACATATTAAAAAATATTTATAAAAATTAAAATTGCTTTAAAAGATAACAATTTTCATAAGGATTCGTCATAATAGTTGTATCTAACCTATTATATTATTTTAAATGCTGATGGGCCAAAGTGTTTAATCATTAATTGTTAAACATAATTATATAAAAAAAATTTTTCTAAGGTTGAGTAGAAACGTGAAAATATACAGTTGGAAATATATATTTGTAAAAGATGTCAGCCATTCTCTTCTATACATTGTTTTACATTTTAATGTCAGGTTGTATTATATATCCACCTACAGAATTTGTATCAGCCGGTGTAACCATAAAAGATATATTTTCAAATTGGTTAGGTAGTGAAAATGAAATTTTTATACAATATCATATGAGAAGAAGTGTCATTACATTATTTATACATTCTATACTTCCGTTTGGTAATTATATTTATTTTTCTCTTGCTCTAAATGTTGCTGTATTATGTTGAAATAAATTTTTCTTTTAATTAGGTTATGTTTTTGGTTTAGTCGTGTTTGGACACGTAGATACCAATATATTATTAGATCATGCCAATTTATGGACAATATTTGTTACTTGTACCTTATTGATGCCTCTATATACTTTATATAAAATTTTAGTATGGTCAATGAATAATTGGAGCACACATCCTATACCACAAAATCTTGCAATTTATTGTAATAGCAATAACAACAATAATAGTATACCATGGACTACAGTAGCTTCTGATATTAATGTAGAATATCAAAGGTTATATATTAAATTTAGAACCTTATTCGTGTAATATATTGTTTCAAAAGGTATCTAAACTATTAAAACTACATTTTAGAATAGATAAAATAATAATTGCTACAAATAGTATAACATCTATAGTAGCCACTGATAATTGGATAATTAAAGTTTTACCTTATAAAATAATGGTTGCTCATCAGAGTGATACAGCTTTAATAGTTAATAGAAGTGATACTCATGAAATGTCACCTGTGACAAGAGGAGAAGTTCAATTCATTAATATTCAGGTATATCTTGCATTCATTAGATTTATTATGATGTATATTCTATTATATTAAATTAGTGTTTTTCGTGAAATACTTTCCTATAAAGAAGTTGCACAGAATTTTCCATAAGTAAAATTGTTTTACTAATTAATTCATATTTCATTGCTATGTAGGTAAAGCCTACTAGAGCCGGATCACAGCCTTTCGACATAAGATTGAATGTATTTAATTTTAAGAATCTACAAGATAAAATCTCTCGTCCTATTACCATATTACAAAATGTTAAATTTCATAAAACTTTACTTGATAAATTTATTGATAATTTTAAAGAACAGATACAAGAAAATCCATATTATGAATATGCAGAGGTATTTTATTTTTATAAACTTAATATTTCTTTTTTTTTATTGTGCTTACTAATTGTTATATATAAATATATGTAAAGGAATTAAGTCAATGTATAGGATGTATGCAAGCATCTTCAAATGTAAAATTACATAAACAATGTAGTAATGGCATAGGAAGTGAAAACCCTGATGCTTGTATGATGTGTTATTGCCGTCCGATGTGGTGCATAGATTGTATGGCAAAATGGTTGGCATTTGACATATAATACATATATATTATTTTTGTTTAATACAAATATATTAATAAATATTACATTATAGGTTTGCATCAAGACAAGATGAAAATGCACCTGAAACATGGTTATCTTCTAAATGTACTTGTCCAGTATGCAGAGCAAGATTTTGTATTTTGGATGTATGTCTTATACAAACTGTTTGAATATAAAAATTATTTTATGTGATTACATTTTTTAAATTATCTTTGTTATATTTATGAAATATAAACATATTTCCCTTGATAGTTATAATATATAATTTTTGTACATTACTTATTACATCTTCTTTTTTAATTGTATGGAAATAAACTTATAACATTGTTAAATAATATATCACTTAATTTTTATAACAAAATATGACCTTTCAAATAGAAAAGTAAAAATATGAAAATTTAATATTAATTTAATATTTTTATTTATATATTTTTTTCAGTTTGTTAGGAGAGTGAACATTGTAACAATATTTAAAGTACAATAAAAAAGAAAATACTAAACTAAATAGAAATATAAGTAATGGAGTAATATAATAGCTAAATCACATTTTTCACTGTATACTTATTATGATACATTATATTAAAACGTATATTTAGTACTATGAAAACATTACATATTGATATTTATGCTACCATTAATCGAGGTGCAATATTCATAGCCATAAGTTCTTGGAAAAGTAATTTCGCCGCGTATGGTAGTCTGATTTGAGAAATTTGTGTTTTGTTTTTACATCCTTTACATTCAAATGTATTATTCCTTAAATTTGCTATTGCAATTAAACCACAAAAGTTACATATATGTATCCGATATGGATCTGAGACTTCAAATAAACGTTCTCTTAAAAATTGTGCAGCTCCATGGGAAATTTGACAATCACGTTCCATTTCACCAAACCGTAAACCTCCATCTCTAAACATTATATATATTGATATAAGAATATGCAAATTATAATAACAAAGTATAAAAGTTAAATAATTTACCTTGCTCTTCCTTCCATAGGTTGTCTAACTAAAATTTGTACAGGTCCTCGAGCTCTACTATGAATTTTATCATCTACCATATGTTTTAAACGTTGGTAATAAGTTGGTCCTAAAAAGACTTGAGCATTTATCTTGCGTCCGGTATGACCATTATACATGACTTCATTTCCTCTTAGTTGATAACCATATTCTTGTAAGAGTGTAGAAATTTTTTGTACATTTACAGCGTCGTTGAATGGTGTAGCGTCACCAATTTCACCTGTGAAATAATATGTTATAAACAACTTAAATATACTTTTTACATTTCAAGTACTTATTTTATTAAAAATAAAAACATATCAATACCTTTATTAGCAGATACTTTCCCCTGTATACACTCAATCAAGTGACCAATAGTCATACGTGATGGAATAGCATGAGGATTAATTATAATGTCTGGTGTAAGACCTTCACATGAAAATGGCATATCTTCTTGCCTATATTGAATTCCACAAGTACCTTTCTGACCGTGACGTGAAGCAAATTTATCACCAATTTGTGGAATACGAACACTGCGTACCCTTATTTTACAAAATTTATATCCCTCACTGTTCAAAGTTAACATTACTTGATCTACTATGCCAGTTTCACTATTACGCAAAAAGGTTGATGCATCTCGTTTTGTAAAACGTTTTGTTGTACTATCCAACTGTAAATATTAATAAAATAAGAGAAAGATAATATAAATAAATTTCTTTAATATAATTATTATATGATTACATACCTCATCGTCTGCTTCTGGAAGAGTGATGGTTTTACCTATAACTACATCATCTCCAGATACACGAATTCCAGGTGCAATAATACCATCATCATCTAACTTATCATAAATAGCATTACGCATCCCTTGACACGTTTGTC